CTGGAGAGGCGTAGAATGAGGGGAGATATCACTGAAGTGTATAAGTGGATGACGGGCATAAACAAGGGGGATATTAATAAAGTACTGAGGGTGTCGAACCAGGTAAGAACCAGAAATAATGAATTTAAGTTGGAATAAATTTAGATTTAGAAAAGGAATAGGTAAGAACTGGTTTTCTAACAGAGTTGTAGAGCGTGGAACAGTCTTCCAGTGTGGTGGTAGAGGCTAGGACCTTGGGTAGCTTTAAGAAGAGACTGGACAAATATATGAGTGGGAGGGGCTGAGTTTGATTGGTGTCATTGGGTACGGAGTTATTTCCTTGGGTAGCTTTGGGTATAGGTCGTTTTAATAAGGACCTCACTCGCATGCGCCAGTGGCTTCTGCAGTGTTCCTCCATTCTTATGTTCTTATGTACTGACTTCAGGTCCCTGTCCAGTGCCTTCTTAAAGACAGTCAGGAGTCTTTTGGTAATCCCCTTATGTATGCAAGGAAGCACTTGAACAGTCTTGGGCCCTGGACACTTAATGTGTTTTCTCTCAAAGTACCCGTGGCACCGCTGCTTTTCATCTGGGGAATGTTGATATTCCTGCCAAAAATTTTGCTTTCATAGGGAGTAATTTTCATGTGCAGGTTTGGTAACAATCCCTCCAGGACCTTCCAAGTGTTTTATTATCATGTATCTCTCTCGCCTGCATTCCAAGGAATACAGATCAAGGACCTTCAACCATTCCCTGTAATTTAGGTGCCTTATCGTACTTATGAGTGCAGTGAAAGTTCTTTGAACACTCTCCAGGTTTACAATGTCACCAGCCTTGAAGACTCAAGTTTAAGGTGAACTTGACTCACTCTTCCAACCTTTCATACCTGAGACTCAAGTTTTACTGTTTGGATGAGAATGTTTAATTCTTTCAAAATAAATAATTTACAGAAGAATGATTTGTTAGAGAAATCATCTATAGCTCAGTTATATTATCTTTGCAAAATATCCACTGCAACAGAAAGCTATGTTTATGTTACTGACTTTCATATGCTTAACATCTGTTTATTAACAATATTTGCAAAACATGAAAACAGGACACATGTGTAATAAATGCTAGACAAAATACAATGTTCTAATCATTTTATAACAGCAATTTAAGTCTTGTCAGCCTCTGTTTACCTCAATTATTTTCAGCTTATGCATATGTAGGCTTAGAGTTTAAGACTAAATGAAAATGAGGTCTCTCTTTGTATGTAGAGAAGAGCAGTACATGGGAGGGTCCTGCCATGTACTGAACTTGCATATCTAATCTCTGTTTACGACAATAATAATATTCTAATAACCGGCTTACCTTGCTCTGCCGAGTCTCACCAACAATTAACATTAACATAAACTAATTTTTTTAGTCTGCACAGGATGCACAGTAATTATGTAATTGAACCGTTTCAGGGTCCAAGGCCAAAATCTGAAGTGGTGCCCCAGTGTCCAAGAAATTTAGAAAAAAAAAAAATTTTTGATTTTTTCTTACAGAATTTAAAAGATAATATTTTTGTGAAGAATAAAACAAAACAAAAATTCTGATCAGTACTTACTGAGATTACAGCGGCGGGAAGTTGACCCAAAATACCGGTGGCAGCAACATCAGCGACTTCAGCAAAATCTCATTTTTTTATTTTATGTTTTTTACACTTTTTTCTTTCTTTTCTAGTTTTTCTTTTTCTAGTACATTATGACCTGTTGAGCCCAAGATAATGTATAAGTATAAGTGTACACCCCATTGTATTCAACACAATAATCACTAAATTTGTTTTATCAATAAATTGCATATAAAACTTGTTACAAAGTTTAAAGTAAACAAAGTGATGAAAATATTATTGCGGTTTATTATGATTGAATACAATGGTACCATATAGTATCATATGGTATAATGGTGCCATAGTGTATATAGTACCAATAGTACAATTTTTATCCATATGATACAATGGTA